TGAGGGTATCTGGATTCGAACTGGAGTCTGTATTTCAACAGTTCAGGCGTGGACCGACTGAGCTAGGCTGATTCTAAAGCTTTGAATGGGAAGTTTTTGGGCTGTTGAAATGTGCGCCTTGCTCTGCTGACAGAGTTCGTGAAACAACAGGGTGGTAACCAGAGTGGTAACCAGGGTGGTAACCAGGGTGTAACCAGGGTGGTAACCAGGGTGGTAACCAGGGTGTAGGCGTGGGTATAAACATTGTGCAAACAGGACACAAATCTTGTTTGGAAGGAAAAGCAACCTTGTTTGTTGTGATAGAGTCTCTGTCTCAATGCCGCCCTTACTGTGTGCTTCAATTTGTGTTCCTGATTCCACTTGGTTGTGGGTCAGCGATGCCCTTACTGTGTGCTTCAATCTGTGTCGTCAGAGCGTAGTGCAAGGATGAGCAATAGCGAACTTCAGCAATAAAACAGCATCATACACATAAGAGCAGATAGTCGTGACCTCGAACCAACAGCAGAATTGCATCACGAGTTTCACCAAATAAGAGCACACCAAAAGCTCATAATTGACAATGCTGGAATAGTCTCATCATCATCATCAACGACGAGCCAATGTTGATATCCTATCTGGCGCTCGGCGCCCAGGCTACAGATGGCGGATCCTATCTAGCCTAGACTACAACGCCGAAGATGATGACAACAGCTCTCCCGAAGTACGAGCAGATAGCGGCCAATGCCGCACGCTTCCAGCACCAGGTATGTCTCTTGCATCACTCACAACCTCGTTCCCCAACACACAGATGCCACATGCACCCAAGGACCACCCTGCGCCACACCCAGCTCACAGGAGCACAGCTCGGCTATGGCTGCCTGCTCCTTCCAGCTCGCCCGTGAGCGCGTGAGCACTGGCCAGCTTCAGCGCAGCAGCGCTTGCGCAGCATGCAGCCAGCACCCGAATGTCCAATGCGGAGGCAGGCTCTTTGCTATATGGAAGTGGCCTGCCTGCATTCTGTCCCAGGCTGCGCTGGGCCTTTCCCAAGAAGCTTCTGGTAGGCCCCGGTAGGCTGAGGCCCAGTCCGAAACAAATCAGGCCCAGGGCCTGAGGTGGTTGCTTGTGCCCAACTGCCTTCGGCCTTTGTTTGGCCCACATCCGGCATCCAGCCCAGGGCCTGCCTTCGATCATGCAAACAGGCGGCCCAGGGCCTGGGTTCTTTCAACCAACTGGCGCTGCGCAACTGCCTGAATTTCCTTAGTTGCATGGTGGCCGAAATAGGGGCCCTCAGGTCCTCGTTGAGCCTGCCTTCACTTAGGGCGGCCGACATGCTGCTTGACAGGGCCTGAAAGGGGCTCATCGAGGCTGTGGCCTCGCAGTAGGCGCAATGTCTGCCAAAGTTGGAAAGTCAACCAGGGTGAAGGCGTGGTTATTGCAGAAGTTGAAAAGGCAGGGTGCTGATTGTGAGGCCTGCTGGTGCTTGTATGTCTTCGCTGATGATGGTCGTGTCCCGCGTCAAGGTCTCCGCCGGCTTCTTGTCCTTCTTTGCTGATAATTGTCATGTCGTGTGTGGTGCTCTGCAACTGTCTCTTATACACATCTAGATGTGTATAAGAGACAGGTTGGAAAGTCAACCAGGGTGAAGGCGTGGTTATTGCAGAAGTTGAAAAGGCAGGGTGCTGATTGTGAGGCCTGCTGGTGCTTGTATGTCTTCGCTGATGATGGTCGTGTCCCGCGTCAAGGTCTCCGCCGGCTTCTTGTCCTTCTTTGCTGATAATTGTCATGTCGTGTGTGGTGCTCTGCAACTACCTTCTTCCCCCGAATACAGCGTAGGGTCGTTATAGCTGAATTTGGCGTATCTTTCAGTCTAAATACAGCTATAATGACCGTACGTTGTATTCGGGGGAAGAAGGTAGAGTCTGTGTTGTATTTATGTCTCGCAGTCCGTGAAGAGAGCCCACAAGAGCCAGAGAACGCGTATTAGTCTTACAGTGCATAAGATGTTTTCCCCTTTCCAGGCAGTGGGTTGTGGAGACTTGGAGACTCAGTTTGCTCCTTGATCTGGGGCAAGGAACCATCTTCCCCTGAACAGAATGCACCCTGGTTATGAAAGTGTACAACCATCTTTCTGCTCATATCTAGTCATGACGAGGGTACGTTCTCCTTCGGGGAGCACATCGTATCAATGCTGCCGCCTGAGAAGTTGAGAAGGTGCCGTGCTGGTCCGGGTCTGTCCCAACTGGCTACCTAGTTACTACAGGTCACAGGAGTGGACAAACTGTCGTCCGCTGAACCGCAGCGCAATCTGTACAGCTGCAAACTCAAACTGTATCGTGATTATCTGTACTAGATGATGATGACCTCTCACAGCTTTGCCCGCCGAAATGTAAAAAACTAGAAAAGAAAAGGAAGGAAAGCAGAAGGCATAAGCAGACTTGTGGTAGTTGCCGAGCAGGTCATCTGCTGTAGGTACCACACATGACCTGGACAGACATGCGTGCAGGCGGTAGTTGCCGAGCAGGTCATCTGCTGTAGGTACCACACATGACCTGGACAGACATGCGTGCAGGCCTGTGCAGGTGCCCACATGAGCAACAGTTTGCAGTGTCCTTGCTCTCACAGACGTGTTCCCTAACAAAGTATGCAAGATTTGGCAAAACAGGAAAATAGTGGAGAAGATAGGAATTGTACTGACTAAACCTTCATAGTACTTAACAAGTCGGGTTTTATGTCGATCATGTAAAGCACCTACGCTCTCTACGCATAAAAAAAGGTCTGAAGAAACCAGTCCATGACTTAACATGAGTAAAATACTACCTTCAATTCCTTGTATATTCAATAGAGTGAAACTTCCCCACTGAGAAAACATGCCAGCGGTACTCGAGTCCTGACTTACCCCCTTTTTTACCACACAGCTCAACTCTTGGCTCGCCTCTTTTTATTCCGGGACTCCAAACATCATCCCACCCAACTGAAGTGTTTGTTTGCTGTCATCACCTCCATTCCATTCTCCCCCCCCCCCCCCCCCCCCCCC